ATTGTGTCATTCTTACGCCTTTGCATCCTCACAGCTTAGCTCCCACACATCAGTGAGAACATACAATGTTTGGTTTTCCATTCCTGAGTTACTTCACTTAGAATAATAGCCTCCAACTCATCCAGGTCACTGCAAATGCTGTTAATTCATTCCTTTTCATGGCTGCATAGTTTTCCATGGTATACACATACCACAGTTTCTTTATCCACTCATAGACTGATGGGCATTTGGGTTGGTTCCGCAATTTTGCAATTGTGAATTGTGCTGCTGTGAATATGCATGTGCAAGTATCTTTTTCAAATAATGACTCTTTTCCTCTGGGTAGATACCCAGTAGTGGGAGTGCTGGATCAAACGGTAGGTAGTTCTACTTTTAGTTCTTTATGGAATCTCCACACTGTTTTCCATAGTGGCCATACTAGTTTACATTCCCACCAGCAGGGTAGAAGTGTTCCCTGATCGCCACATCTATGCCGACGTTTCAATCTCACTGCGTGTTATTGTTCTGTTCAGGGTATTCTGTGGTTGTTGGATGAAATATTCTGTATATATCTGTTAAGTCCATTTGTTCCAAGGTATAGTTTAAATCCATTTTTTTTTGTGACTTTCTGTCTTGATAACCTGTCTAGTGTGGTTGGTGGAGTATTAAAGTCTGCCACTATCATTGTGTTGCTGTCTATCTGATTTCTTAGGTCTATTAGTAATTGTTTTATAAATTTGGGACCTCCAGTGTTAGATGGATATATGTTTAGGATTGTGATATTTAACTGTTGGGCCTTTTACCATTATATAATGTCCCTCTTTGTCTCTTTTTTTTTTTTTTTTTTTTTTGAGACAGAGTCTTGCTGTGTCACCCAGGCTGGAGTGCAGTGGTGTGATCTCAGCTCACTGCAACCTCCGTCTCTCAGGTTCAAGCAATTCTCCTGCCTCAGCCTCCTAAGTAGCTAGAACTACAGGCACCCCCCCGCCTCATCACCATGCCTGGCTAATTTTTTTTTTTTTTTGTATTTTTAATAGAGACAGTGTTTCACTATGTTGGCCAGGCTGGTCTTGAACTCCTGACCTCGTGACCCACCCACTTTGACCTCCCAAGTGCTGGGATTACAGGCATGAATCACTACACCCTGGCCCTCCTTGTTTCTTTTAACCACTGTTACTTTACAGTTTGCTTTGTCTGATATAGGAATAGCTGCCACTGCTAGCTGCTCACTTTTGGTGTCCATTTGCAAGGAATGCCTTTTTCCATCTCTTTACTTTAAGTGTATGTGAGTTCTTAGGTGTTAGGTGAGTCTCCTGAGGGGAGCAGGTAGTTGGTAGGTGAGTTCTTATTCATTCTGCAGTTCTGTATCTTTTAAGTGGAGACTTTAGGCCATTTACATTCAATGTTAGTATTGAAATGGAGGTATCATTGTATTCATCCTGCTCTTTGTTGCCTGTGTACTTTGGATTTTTGTTGTTTTTTGCTTTTGCTTTTTTGCTTGTATTTTTGTTTTGTAGGTCCTGTATGATATATGCTTTAAAGAGGTTGTTTTTTGATGTGTTTCCAAGATTTGTTTCAAGACTTAGAGCTACTTTCAGCAGTTCTTGTAGTGGTGGCTTAGTAGTGGCAAATTCTCTCAGCATTTGTTTGTCTGAAAAGACTGTATCTTTTCTTTATGTATGACGCTTAGTTTTGCTGGACACAAAATTCTTGACTGAAAATTGTTTTGCTTGAGCCAGAAGACAGGGCTCCAATCCTTTCTAGCTTGCAGGGTTTCTGCTGAGAAATCTGCTAGGTTTTCCTTTGTAAGTTGCCTGGTGCTTATGTCTCACAGCTCTTAAGACACTTTCCTTCATCTTAACTTTGGATAACCTGATGACAGTGAGCCTAGGCAAAGACCTTTTTGCGATGCATTTCCCAGGTGTTCTTTGTGCTTCTTGTATTTGGATGTCTAGGTCTCTAGCTAGGCTGGGGAACTTTTCCTCTATTATTCCCCCAAATATGTTTTCCAAACTTTTGGAATTCTCTTCCTCAGGAACGCCGATCATTTTTAGGTTTGGCCATTTAACTTAATCTCAGACTTATGGGAGGCTTTGTTCATATTTCTTATTCTTCTTTCTCTGTCTCTGTTGGATTGGGTTAATTCAAAGACCTTGTCTTCGAGCTCTGAATTTCTTTCTTCTACTTGTTCGATTCTATTGCTGAGAGTTTCCAGAGCATTTCACATTTCTGAAAGCATGTCCAAAATTTCCTGAATTTTTTATTGCTTTTTCTTTAAGCTATTTCATTGAAAATTTCTCCCATTCAATATTGGGGGAGTGTGTTGGAAGAGGAGGGTCTCCCTTTCCCACTTCCACAGTTGGGGCAGTTGCAGCATTTGGGCTGTCTCCTGGGCCTTGCAGGAGCAGTCTGCTTCCGGTTTGTTCTTACAGTCAAACTGGGACTAAAATTCACAATGCAAGCCTATAGATGCTGCTCTTTCTGGAGCTGCAGTCTAGTCCTGCCTCCTCTCCACCATGATCCCCTCCATTCTTCCGGGTTTTTGTTGTTGTTGTTTGGTTTTTGGTTTTGTTTTTGTTTAGAGACAGAGTCTTTCTCTATCACTCAGGCTGGAGTGCAGTGGCATGATCTCAGATCACTGCAGCCTCAGCCTCCTGGGTTCAAGTGATTCTCCTGTAATCCTGGGATCACAGGCACCTGCCGCCATGCCCAGCAATTTTTTGTATTTTTAGTAGAGATGGAGTTTCACTATGTTGGCCAGGCTGGTCTCGAAATTCTGAACTCAAGTGATCTACTCCCCTCAGCCTCCCAAAGTGCTGGGATTACAGGTGTGAGCCACCACACCCAGCCCATTTGAATTCACATTCTCAGGGTTTAGGCTCTCTGCTGCCATCTTACCTGGCTTGATGGCACACATAGCACTTAAACAAGGACTAATGTGCTGCAGTGTTTAACCCACTCCCCCTGCCAGTTTCTCCTGCAAGTGTCTCTACACCTGCATCTTTCCTTGCCTGTGAATTCTCTCACTGGAGGAAAAGCACCCCTGTCTCTTCCACACATATCCTCTCAAGAGAATGAAGAAGGAGGGGGCCTTGCCTCATTCAAGCTGGTGGATGTTGCTTTGTGGCTGACTACAGTCTCACCTGGAACTGAAGGGTCAAGGGCCCAAGGGTGGTTCCCCTTGCACTGAATCAAGGAATGGACCCAAGAGCACCAGAGCCAGGGCCACCAGCAACCTCTCTCCTGCTGCCTCTGCTCCTCCTGCAGTATCCACTCGAGGCATCGAGCTCGCCCTCAGCATCTTTGTGTCTCCCCTGCCTTGGGCACCTGCTCCAGATCTCCCACTCCCTGACCTTGTGCTAGGCCTCCCCAAGACCAGGCACACATTAACAGGTCAATAAATATTTTTGTGATAACAAATAGAAGTCAGCTCTCTCTTCCTATCTGCCACCTCTTCTGGGTGCATTTATCTTAATCTCTGCATCTTTGAACCAGGTTGTTAACATGGGCCAAGAATAGACGGCAAACATACAGCTGCCCTGCTGAATAGTGCGGCGTTCCTACATGCCAGGTGCTGAGCTGGGAGCTCAGACACAACAAAGACTGAAACAAAAGTGTAGAAAAGTGTCCACTTTGAGAACCACAGTCAGAGCATAGCTATTGATGAGATTACTATGAATAAGCACATTAGTAAGAAATTAAAAATAAACCGAAACCACTGATGACTTATTTTCTTTTAGGTTACACAGATGATAGTTAATTACAGTGGCTGACATTGACTAAGCGCTTTCTGCACGTCAGACATTGTGCTTTGGGCTTCCCGGAACATACAAACACATTGAAATGGATTATTGGGGCTGGGGGCAGGGAAGGGGCTACCATTTGCTCTTGGTTTTGCATGTGGCCAGTTTCAATACAGATAAGCTACAATGGGATAGAAAAGTTCTTAAAAAAATAATTTAACCAGTTAAAAAGAAAAACAGCACTGGGACTGAGGCTGGGTTTCAGAGCCAATTTCCAAGAAGTAATTTCATCATCGTAGAACATCAAACGTGAATTCCACTCTCAGCTATGCAAATTCCAAAAGAATAATACCTCACATTTGCATAATGCTTGATGCTTTTCAAAGTGCTTTCCCAGTTATTAATCTAGAGGAGGCTTTATTACTACCGAAAACATAAATTAAAATTCTGTTCGGACTCAAGTTCTCCATTATTTTTTCCACTTCCCCCTCAAAAGCCAGAGCCATCGAAATCCAGGTGCTTTTGATTGAATGGGTAACTCTAATAAGTTTAACTGACAGGGTGAATATGCATAAATGTAGCATATTGCGAGACCTTCAATCTACAGACACCAGAGTCAGGCTTAGGAAAATCTGCTATTGAATTAACAAAACCACAGGGGAGCAGTCGGAGTTCAAGTCTGAGATCCTTTCAGGGTCTCAATTTTTGTAGGAGCTGCATACACTATGTTCATCAAAATCCATCTCCCTCTATCAAAGATGAGAAAATTAAGAAATTAGATCTACCACTTTGTCCTTAAACCTACAGAAATCCCCGTCAACGACTTCCCGCAAAGAGGCCCACATTTGCCAGACAGCTCCTAGGTCTTGTTTTGTTTTGAATGTAATATGAACCAAGAGGCTGAATTCACTGTAAATCCAACAAGGACAGAGGATTTTAGAAAAATGAGGTGAGGAGATATGACGGGGTATGAGGAAATACTTCTCCCCAAACCTAATGCCTTTCCAATTTGTTTCTTTTTCCATCTCTTTCAAACTTAATTATGTGTAGCGTTCTCACTCACTGAATCACCAGCCTTTCCTGACACTTCAATCTCATGCATTTTAGCAAAAGATTAACCTGGCTGTTTGCTTTTAATTCTGAAGCTGTGTTAATACTCAACTCCCGCCAGATTAGAAAAGAAGAAAAACACTCCCACATACCCCACCACAGCACCAGCAAGGCTCCAGGGCTGACACTGCTCAGGCTGTCACAGTCCCTAGGGCTGGCTGCACTTACCACTTCAGGAGGGCCAAGAGAACCACTGACAGGGCCACCGTCACCATGGGGCCATTCACTTCCAATTTTAGGAACCCCAAGGCTTCCATCATTCCTCTGAGACCCCAAAGTGGTGGCTTCCAGATGAGAGAGGAGGCTGATCCTGCTGCCCTTATGGGAACCGTGCTCTGCAGGTAGAAAAGGGAACAGGCAACCAAGAAAACATCACGTGGAGTGGGTCCCTACAATGTCCTCTTTCTCAGAGTGCCTCTCCTTATAAAGAGGAAGGAAGAGGAGGGCACAACAAAGGGTTTCAGTGTCAAGCAATGAATCAGCAACTTTATTCCTTGATGACTGTGCTATCAATAAACATTTATGTTAACTTTCCCCAGAGAGGAAAAGCAGACTTCCCCATGTTTGCTGAGAAACAAAATGGTGGTAACCATGGACTTGTACTCGGAGACGTAGTCTTCAAACAGACGCTCTTCTCCAAGATGTCTTTCTATATCTATCTATGTCTGCATGTATAGCTACATCTATATCTACATCCATTCATCATTTTTTAAATTCACAATTAAGTGAAGATACATGTCAGGAGACTCTGAATATCTCAGAAAAATAGAGGACCAGACACCAGCCTGCTAAAAATGCTGGCTGCTTTGAGGACAACCATTCCACCAAGTCCATTAATTGCTGGGCCTGAGGCTGTTGGAGCAAAGCAAAGATCCTGACTGGGGTCAGTTTTCTCACGGTGAGTTGGAGGCTTTCTCAAGTGTCTGAAGGCAGATCCATGGGCTCATGTAGGGGTCTTTTGTTCTAGCTTTGGGCTTATCTGACTAAAGTAGACAGAAAGATGCAGGAGATCATAGCAGATGGGAGGCAGGACTAGATTGCAGCTCTAGACAGAGCAGCATCCGAAGGCTTTCATGGTAAATTTTAGCTCCAGATCAACTGAAGGAACAAACCAGCAATCCTGAGAGGACCCTCAGACCCTCTGAAGGAAGTGGATTTCTCCTGCAGAACCCAGGAGACACCCCAAATACTGTGAGTGCCCCAACTGTGGAAGTGGGAAAAGGAGACCCTCCTCTCCTGAACAGACACTCCCAATATTGAATAAGAGAAATATTGAATGAAATAGATAGCTTAAAGAAAAAAACAATAAAAAATTCAGGTAACTTTGGGCACATTTTTAGAAATGTGAAATGCTCTGGAAAGTCTCAGCAATAGATTTGAATATGTCGAGGAAAGAAATTCAGGCCTCAAAAACAAGGTTTTCGAATTAACTCAATCCAACAAAGACATAGAAAAAAGAATAAGAAAATACGAGCAAAGCCTCCAAGAAGTCTGTGATTATGTTAAATGACCAAACCTAAGAATAATCAGTGTTTCTGAGGAAGAAGAGAATTCTAGAAGCTTGGAAAACATATTTGGGGGAATAATCAAGGAAAGCTTCTGCAGCCTGGCTAGAGACCTAGACATCCAAACACAAGAAGCACAAAGAATACCTGGGAAATTCATCGCAAAAAAGATTTTTGCCTAGGCACATTATCATCAGGTTATCCAAAGTTAAGATGAAGGAAAGACTCTTAAGAGCTGTGAGACAGAAGTACCAGGTAACTATATAGGGAAACCTATCAGATTAACAGCAGATTTCTCAGCAGAAACCCTACAAGCTAGAAAGGGTTAGTGCCCTGTCTTCTAGCTCCTCAAACAAATCAACTATCAGCCAAGAATTTTGTATCCAGCAATCATATATGAAGGAAAGATATAGTTGTTTACAGACAAACAAATGCTGAGAGAATTCATCATTACCAAGCCACCACTACAAGAACTGTTAAAAGGAGCTGTAAATCTTGAAACAAATCCTAGAAACACATCAAAACAGGATGTCTTTAAAGCATAAATCACACAGGACCTGTAAAACAAAAATACAAGCTAAAAGCAAAAAACAAAACACACACACACACACACACACACACACACACACACACAAAATACGCAGGCAACAAAAAGCATGATGAATGCAATGGTGCCTCACATTTCAACACCAACAAATGTAAATGGCCTAAAAGCTTCACTTAAAAGTTACAGAACTGCAGGGTGGGTAAGAACTCACCAACCAACTATCTGTTGCCCTCAAGAGACTCACCTAACACCTAAGGACTAACATAAACTTAAAGTAAAAGGGTGGAAAAAGATATTTCATGCAAATGGACACCAAAAGCGAGCAGAGGTAGCTATGGGCTTCTTTTTCTGTGCCCTTGCAGTGTCTTAGGATGGTCACAGGTACATTTGTTACAGAAGGCTGTGGTCACGGGTACAGATTCCCTGGAAAGGAGCAAGAGGAAAAGCAGGGAGGCACACAGAGGCTGCTGCCTTCACCCAGATCAAAGGGATGCTTGGCTAGAGGAGAGAGGGATGTGGGAAGAAGTAGATGGACTTGAAAAATATTTCGGAGGTGGAGTCTTCTGCTTTGCAGAGGTTCCTGGTGGGTTGCATATGAAAGGGAAGGGGAAAGCAGGACCACACCTGACCGTCAGGTTCCTGACTTGGGCTACAGGTATATCAGATGCCATTCACTGAAACAGGGAGGCTGGGAAAGGTGGGTTACTGTTGGGAAAGTCAAGAATTCTGATTCAGTTGTGTTAAGCCTGAGACGCCCTGGAGACATCTGAGTGGAGGTGTCAAGCCAGAGAGGACTGACGACTGAAAATGTGAATAATAATTTATCATGATCATGTCATTTATGAGTGCTTACTATGCACCAGTTATGATTCTAGGAGCTTTTGTATGTGTCAACTCATTTAACCCTCGTACACACACCGAGCAGGTAAATCTTGTGGTTAACCCCATGTTACAGAGGAAGAAACAGACATGGGCTGTATGATTCTAAAGCCCATGCTCTTCCTCAAAAGATTATATTCAAACATGGAAGCTATCAACATAAATTTGGTATTTAAATCCGAGGGAGTGATGAGCTACAGCCACAGGTAAGACAGCGAAACACACAGGTGCCAAGAACCCTACTTTCCCTCTGACCATTTGCCCTGCCTCTCTGTTTTCAATAGATGTTTTATGAAAATGATTCCTCTGTAGTTCCCTGCTTATTAGTGTCCCTACCTGTTATTCCTACTTAGTGCCCCCAACTGCAGCTCCCCTTCTGGGGGCTTCTGGCTGCAGTTCAAGCCCCTTTAGACTCCCCTCCCCTCTCCTTCGTCTGCAGGCTACCACTCCTTCGTCCCATTCCATCGGGACCTGTACTGAGAGGCTGACCCTTTCTCTCTCACAAAACATAGCTTCGTTTTTTCCAGGGGTCACCTGAAATACTTGGCATTCAGCCCCAGGAACACTGCCGGATGATGGCCAGACAGCATGGAGGAGGCGGCATGGAGGGTGACTCATTGCAGTCACGGACTCAGGGAGTGAGAAGTGACCGTGGGTAACACTGAATTCAGTGCAACACTAAGATGCTTGGAAAACAATATTTTAAAGGATGCCAAAGTGAAATAAACATGAGAATTGCTAGTATAAGCATCGATAAGTACGTTTATTTACTGGCAGACCTTGGAGACTCTAACCTAACACGCACTGGGAATCTCCAAGAGCATGATGCAGAGAGCAGCATTTCCCAAGTGCATTTGACCATAGAAGCCTCTTCAGGGACAGTCATAACATATCCCAGATGTAGTTTTCGAAGGAGACTGCTTTGAGAAACACTGACCAAGCCTTACTCTTATCTACAGAGGAGGAAACAGAAACCTAGAAAGGGAAAGTTACACAGTTCCATAGTGGTCTAGGGATCCAGGTCTCCCAAGCCCTTCTCAGGCACTTGATCTAGAACGTGTCCCTCACGTCAACCTGTGGACAGGGCACGGTGCATCCAGCACTGTTCCTACCCTGCTCACAGAGAGGCTGCAGAATGTTGGTGGCCAGCTTGAAGATGTCTGGCTTTCTTGGGGAGTTGCCAGCTCCCCAACGGGTGCTGAGTTCACTCGCTCATTCCTCTAATATTCTTGGAGCCCTTCCTACGTGATTTGTGATTTGCAGAAACCATAAATGCCATGGAGAGGTTATCATGCCCGTTCTGTGGCTGTGCAGAGCGGAGACAGTACTCTGTGAGTTGTGGACAGTAAATTAGCCAGGATGAAGCAGAGTGCTAATATAAGAGATGTTCAGAGTTTTCACTGGGACAGCAGCATGATGAAGGATGTATTCCAGTTTTGGTATCTGTGACAATACAGGGACACTAATCAGGCTTTTTGAGGATAAAGGACAGATGGTTCCCATATTTACCATAATTAAATATTAGACCTTTAACTATTTTCTGGATATTTTTCTTTTACTAATACATCTATTAGAAGCAATTAACTCAGGCCAGGCATGGTGGTTCATGCCTGTAATCCCAGCACTTTGGGAAGCCAAGGCGGGCAGATCACCAGAGGTCAGGAGTTCAAGACCAGCCTGGCCAACATGGTGAAACCCCGTCTCTACTAAAAATACAAAAGTTATCCAGGCGTGGTGGCAAGTGCCTGTAATCCCAGCTACTTGGGAGGCTAAGGCAGGAGAATCTCTTGAAACCAAGAGGCGGAGGTTGCAGTGAGCCAAGATCGCACCATTGCACTCCAGCCTGGGTGACAGAGCAAGACTCTGTCTCAAAAAAAAAAAAAAAAAAAAAAACTACTGAATTGTACAGAAAATATCCTATAATCCCAAGTCCCACTGACAAACTCTGGTCACAAATTAATATACATACTCTCGTATTTTTCCATGCACACACAGACATAGGTATATTTTTAGTTTTTATGGAAACAAGGTCATCATACCCATGCCACCCTGTAACTGGTCTTTCTCACTTACTGTATTATGAATATTTTGCCATGTTCATACATAGAGACATATGCCATTTGCTGCGTAAGGCTCCACTGTTCAGACGTGCTGTGATTTGTTTAGCGTATCCTCTGCTGAACAGCATTCGAGTTGTTTCCAAGTTTTCTCAACTCCAAATGAGGCTTCAGTAGACATCCTTATACATATTATAGTGTCCTTGCATGAAGCTATCTCAAGTGACATTCTTAAAAGTGAAACAGCTGGGCCCAAAGATGTGTGTTTCCATAATGCTGGTAGGTGCTACCCTGCGTACAGGCAGGACCGACTTTCCCTCGAGAGCTGTGTGGGGAAGTACCCGCTTGCCCCACTTCATAGGGTTCCCCAAGAGCTTTTCTTCCCCCGTCTCCACTCACTGCAAGTCTATCTTTCCCCCCTCCTACCTCCGGGCAGACATCTC